AAGTATGCATAACTAACAGCACTCAATCACTAAATTATATTTACCATTTCCTCTTGGTTATGATTCTTTATTGAATGAACTCAACCAATATAACTTGTTATATAATGAAGAATTTTGATCATTTAATCAGGGGACCTAGTGTTTCAAGGCCAGGTGAGGTTAGCAATGGTGTTGCTACTCTACAGGTATGCCAACTTAAATGATACAATTTCACAATTTAAATTTTGCTGCTTCATTCTTCTATACAAATGCGTGGTCAATTTTGATTTTAGTCTTGTGCTAACTTTTCCCTACTATGCAGGCAGATATAGAAAATCTCTCAATGGAAGAGCGCAAATTAGATGAACGGATAAGGTTAATTGTTTTATGAGCCTCCTTTCTTTTTAATTTTTGTCGTCACTTAGCTTTACTCTTTCAAATTAGCACTGATTCTCTAAACTATTGCAGTGAAATCCAAGAAAGATTGAGGGACATTACTGAAGATACAAATAATCAAAAGTAGGATCCCCTTGTTGTTTCGCCACCCCTGTGGTTCCCACCCACTTTTTTTTATTTTTCTTCAATCAATCAAGGATTGTTATCTTTGGATGCTTATAATTTTCTTATAAAATCTTTCAGATGGCTGTTTGTAAGTGAAGAAGATATGAAGGCCTTACCTTGTTTTCAGGTGTGGTTTTTGGTTTGTCCTGTCACTCACACATCAACTTCCTCCAAGTTTCTTCACAGCTGTGCTTCTTATTATCCTAAACAATAATGCTTGCTGATGTTGTAACTAGTGATTTGTGGTTACGACAGGATGAAACCTTGATAGCAATTAAAGCTCCACATGGTACAACTTTGGAGGTCCCAGAACCAGATGAGGTATGTTCATATGAGTGTAAAAACAATATGTTTGTCAAGTAATTCTTCTGATATATGTCTGAGGGTACTTGCTTCCTCTGCATTTTATGTTTCAGGGTGTTGATCATCCTCAAAGAAAATACAGAATAGTCCTAAGGAGTACTATGGGTCCTATTGATGTTTATCTTGTCAGGTACCATTTTCTCCTGCTTTTCTTGGCCGTTGTTGCTTCACTGCTATTTTTCATTGTCTATAATTAAAAAAAAAATTATGGTCAACTCTTAGAAACTTTGACTGTAAAAACTCACATTATAAACATCAAAATTATATCATGTGAGATCTTGTAAGATTCGGCTTGAAATATATTTTCAAAGTATCAATTTTTACTCACGTCTTGTGAAATTTATATGTGGTCAAAGGTGTGTACTGAAGACCATACAATTCAAAACGTATAAGATTAAAAGCAATGGAGGGATTTACTATATTTCAGCATACAATTCATGCAACTAACTTACTAAGTATAGGCTAGCTAGAGCTCCTGTTATCTTCTTTGTCACTTCATATACTTTGTAATTTTGCCATTGTTATTACTTTGAATGCAAAAAAAGAGATATTACAAGTAAAAGACTGTCAGCTTGTGGCTTCTAAGTTTTACTTAAGAGAAATGCAAAGTGAGGTCTCTGCCTTTTGTTTTATCTTGGCCTTCTCTCCACTCCCCTTTCCATGTTTGTTTTCTTCTGTCTTCTGTGACCTAAATGCAATCTCGACAACTTTGAAATAGTTTTCTTTCTTTCTTTTTTTTCTATTTTTTTCCCCCTCTTTTGCCTATCTTCAGTCAATTTGAGGAGAAGGTCGAGGAGACCAATGGTGCAGAGACACTACAAAGCCTACCAAGTACCTCGGGTTGTAATGATCTTTCAAATGCCATGGCAGAGAATGAAAACAGTGACAATCAGATAGAATTGCATGGACAAGAAGCCAACAGGATGAGCTCAGATGGCTGTGCCCCTCAGGACTTAAGTGGAATCATGAAGATTGTACCTGAAGTTTATGTAGGTTCAAACTTCGAGCTTATTGATTGTCAATTAAAGTTATTTTTATTTGAGAACTTTTATATATTAAATATTTTTGAAGATATACTTGTATATTTTCTTAAGTTTACTTTTGCATAGGCTGGATAATAGCTAATAAATTAATCCTTGTCGTTTGGTCACAGAATGATGCAGATTACTGGTTGCTATCAGATGCTGATGTTAGCATCAGTGACATGTGGGGAGCAGAATGTATCCTTATAAATTTTATCACCTCGGTAAAATTTAGTTTAATCATTGAATCATAATCTCTGATCTCTGAACCCCCCTCCCCCTCCCCGGTCCCCAAATAAAGGATATAACTATATAAAATCCAGAATCCTAACAGAAAAAAGTGGCTTGAAAATGGAAAATACTCTCTTGCTCTTCATTTGGTGTCACCAAGTTTTTAGAATCTTGCAACTGGATTCCTTGACCTAACATAGCTGGAGTTGATTGGGATGAATTGGGGATTGTTCCTGAAGACTATGCTGTGGAGGATATCAGCACTCAGCAGCAGCCACAAAGCCTACTATCATTATTAACCAGTGCAACGGGAGTGCCTCCTGCTATTGCGGACTCAACCGGGAGATAAAGACTGTGGCTGTAGAGATGCAAGCTCTCTTGGGTATCCACTCAAAACTTTGATCAGATATTGCTTAATCCCAACCAAGCTACCTATCAATCTCTGAAGAGTCATGGCATGGGATGCTGGGATGGATATAAAGTATTTTATAAGATTTTGGATAGACCCTCCTTCATTTGACAGTTGGTAAAGTGAGATGATTGAAGGATTGTTGTTGTTCTTCAGCTGTGGCCAGTGTAGATGATTGCTGTAACAACAAATAAAGAACGGTCAGTGTCTTCAGCTGCTGTCATTCTGTAGTTGTTGGAACTTTGAGTAAGCTGCTCAACATACTCAACCATTGACTGTTAACAATGGAGATGTAGATTATAATTACTGGATGATACTAATATAGGATTAGGGATGAAACTAGGAACTCTGTGTGATCTGAAGTAACTAAACAAGTGCTTCAATGAAGTTGACTTTATAAATTGCTTCATCTTTTAGATTATGCAGGTCAGTCTACAGGGAAGAAAGAGATCAGGCCTCATAACATGAATATGCTTCTTAAAAACTGTAGTTCTATTTTTAAATTGGGTTTTTTCTGGCCCAAACAAAGGAACAGAGATCTAAGCCCACATTTTGTATTGGGCTATGAAAATGATTGATCGGTAAGCGAGATGTCCAAGCCCAATGCATATTTACTAACTTTTTTTATTTTTAAATAAGCCAATAAGTAACTAACTAGTGACCACCAAATAGGCAAATATGCCAAATACTACCCTAATTGGCGCCGAATGTTGTTTGTTACGGTGTTGTTGGGAGGGATAATGCACGTTACATGGACTAGAAGGGCTTTTTTTTATTTTTTTACACCAATTAGTCAGTTACTCCTTAGTCCTCCACTACTCCTCCGTATTATCCAGCTAATTTACTTCCTGTTGTAGAGAAAAAAAAAGCAACTCCCTTTTTTTTTCCTTCCTAATATTAGATCATAAATTTCCGAATTTTATTATTAAGAACAGTGTTTAGTCGAACAGTATTTTCTTTTGTTTTCTGGGGAGTCAATATATGTTTAAATGTTTTATACTACTAGCAATTTTGTGTAATGTATTATGGTACATTATATAATTTTTTTCTTTTTTTTTTTTTTTTTTTTTTTTTTTGGGGTAAGAAAACGATCATATTAAACCAACATGTACGTAGGTTATCGTTTGAGTGTAGAGACGTGAGGTAAGAAAATCCCCCTATTCCTAAGCATATGTGGTTGGTGGAGGTTGGATTTTTGACCTCCATTATAATCATTGAGATGGAATTATATTTCGAATCACAATATTGCTTAGTTAATTAATGATTCTTTGCAAATTAGCACAAGTAGATGTCTACCAAATACTAATTTGATATTTTTACTCCCTGTCTCTTTGATATAGAAGAGCAATGGTAATACTTTTCAATATTTTATCCATGTTTGATTAATATAATTATCAAAAATAGTTTCATTAACAAATAAATTGTTTCAATACTCCACCTTAATTGATAGAATATCACTTTTTGGCACAATAAAAATTGAGATAAAAGGAAACATCTAGAATTGTGGTATGTTATTTCTATAAACACTTGTAGGTTTGAATACATTTATAAAGCTTTTACTTATAATACTTTATTTACCATTATTTGAAATATTAAAAAATGATATTATGCTTCATTTATATCTTATACTTGTAACACTTTATATATTATTGCACTCTATACACTACCATTTATATTTTTATATACTTTTATGCAGAGTATCATATACATATACTACCTCCGTTTTTTATTCGTTGACACGTTTTGAGTTTAGCACTATTCACACACTCCCCTTTGACTGTGTTTTATGCTTTATACGTAATGAAAAATATAGTCATGTGGGATCTTGTTAGGTTCGTCACAATATATATTTTCAAAATATCAACTTTTCATAATTTTTGCTTATCAGTAATTAAAGATATTAATGGTTGAATTTGTGCATTGACATAACGTGACTAAAAAAACATGTCAATTAAAAAAGAAACGGATGAAGTATGAAGTATATAATTAAATGTTATTGTGTCAATTTTTATTGGATGGATCAATATTAACTTTGGACTCATGTAAGGCACATGAGCATAACATAGAAAGTGGCGTATCCAGGATTTAACTATAGGGGGTGTGCACAATTATGTACTTAATAGACAATAATCCTAACATGTTTGCATAAACGATCAAAAACTTGTTGTAGTCAGCAAAAAATTATGGTTGGGAAAAAAGTTTAACAATGGATTCAAACTCAAAACTAGAGTGACAATTCAAGAAAGCTTAAGAGACACTTGGATAACCAACTAGCTACACTTAATTGTTTTCCATAAAGTTGCTACATATTTTATTTTAATGAACATGCAACCTTATTGTTAGCTGTATCCGCCCCTAAACATAGTCTTTTGAGAAAATTTAAAAGACTGACATAAAATATTTTTAAGCTTTATGTACAAACTACCAAAAAAATATAATAATTGTTTTAACGCAAGAAAATGATATTATTTATTTTTTCTAACACAAGAAAAGGATACTATTTTGATTAATAATAAGCAGAAATTTTAAACATGTAGAACCCCCTCCAGAAAAATAAACAAGGGAGACAGAATGAACAAGGCCCAAAATTAAAATAAACCAAAAAAGGGGGGAAAAGAAGGTAGTAGGCGAAACTAATGAATTAAAACAAAAAAAAAAAAAAAAAGGTGTATTGAGTATTAGGGGGAAACGGAAAAGGGAAGTGGCTTCCCTCCACATCTATATCCGAACCAAATTCCCTCCTTCACTCCCTTCCCTCGTTTTCTCTCTCTCTCTTTCTCTTTCCTCCCTTTTCCCACCACCACCGCTTCCTCCGCCGCCACCTCCGCCCTTCTCCCGCCCTTCAGATCTCTTCTTCCTTCCCTCCGATCTTCTCCACCTTCTTATCTCACTATTTCCTCTCTATATTTCATTAATTCTATCTCAAATTAAAACCCTCGCAATTCCCTCTTCCCCTAAAAACCCTGAGCTTGAAGCTTCGATCGCTTCCAAATAGTTGCGATGTCGACGCCTAAAGCTACCAACCACCAATCGCAGCAACAGCAGCCGCAGCCTCTTAAGCGACAGCTTCCCTTTACATCGATGAAGCCGCCGTTTGTTCCACCGCCGGGAGACTACCACCGTTTCTCCGACAATCGTGCTCCTCTTCCTCCCGACACCGAAACTATTGTCGTCAAGACTCCTGTTAGTCTCCTTCCTCTTTTTTATTCCCACTTTCATTTTCCCCCCTTTTTTTCTTTAATTTGTTTTTATATGGGGTTTTCTAATGCTATTTTTGGAACAATTGACTTGGGATCTTGCTTCAGTTTTCGTATTTAAAACTAATTTGGTGCCTAATTGTTTTTGGCTAGTAGATTTGTTTCTGACTCTTTCTCAATTGAACTAAGGGTTTCGTGTTAATTTACTTCTGCTGATGTTGTTTCAAGTCCTGCACTTAGTACTAATTAAATGCGTTTTTTGGCTGCGAGCCAACTTAGGGTTGGGTGTATCTCTGCAAATACCACAATTGATTTATTAAAGTGCAAATGACTTGTTGCTTGCTTCCTATTTCGCACTCAACCACAAAATTGATTTTTTAAACCCTGGTGGTATCTTCACATACATGCTGAACGAGTACATTTTGAAGATAAGTGACAAGGATGCTAGTATCTGCAACCTGGATTAAGAATTAAGCCATTGTATAGCTATAAACGCTTTTCAATTTTTCAGCTTACGGTCAGGGGCAGTACTAATGTACTAGTGCCTAGTGATAATTTTGTTGTTAAATACATTCCTATTCATTTCAAACTCGTGACGTGAAAGTCATCGATGCGATGAGATGAATGACTGAGAGAAGAAGTATGCCTTAATTTGATTTTATTTTATTGCAACTTCTGCTCTATCATCCTTTTAGCATCTTCAGTCTTCACTATGAAAGCGCTGGGATCTTGTTTGACTTTGCGGTTTTTATATAAGCTAAGTCTTTCTGGATCCCAACCTAATTTGCTCAACTATAGGTAAAATCACCACTGACAATCTTTGCATCCTGATATTGATGTTTAGCTTTTATGTGTCATTTGTCAAGTTCTTGCTCATATTTGGAACTTCTGGGATTGTTTTTCCAGGATTTATTGTTTTTTTCCAGTCAGTAAGAGTGTTTTTTTCCATTACTATTAATGGTAGAGCAGTAAGGGACTTCTGTTGTTAGGTTTTGGGCTATGTACCAGTAGCCTTTGGAAGAGGGGGAGGGGATTAGGTGATCCAGCCTAGTACGGTGCTAAGTAATCCCTCAATTTTCTTGATATTTTATGTGCAACATATACGTAATGATAAGCATCAATACTTGCCAAATGCTTGACTCTGGGACACTAAATCAAATGCTTTTGTCCTCAGCTTTCTAGTGGGCTGTCATGTGAGATGTAATATTGTAATATGCCTTCAGTTTTGCATTACTCCCTTTCCCATTGCAGTATTAGTTTAGGATTGTATCATACTGTCATTTGTGTTTCATGTTTGTACATATGCCAACTTTTGGCTTATACTATGTTGGTGGCTTTCAGCCGATGAAGCGGAAGAGTGATACAGCTGAATATGATGCCGAGTCTAGTGATTGGACGACCAGTCCGGGATACACTGATGTAGTTAGTAGCCCTCTCCAGACACCTGTATCTGGAAAGGCTGGCAAGGGACGAGGATCAAGGATTAGCAAGTGCAATAGAGCTGGGCCTCAGACTCCCATGTCAAATATTGGTCAGTATTAAAGTTGAAGTCCTTATGTATGGTAGATTATACTGTTCAAGGGGGGTCGACCTGATATGATTGGGCAATACATAATAGTATGGTGGAGCTCTGCTCCAAAAGATATAATGTGATTATGTTTTGTTTTTCATAGACTCCAATCATGATGACCTGATTTAGTTATGGTGTCGTGTTAATAACATGATGTTCCACTCCTGAATAAATTACAAGTATCTTCTTTATTTACTATTTTTTCCAAGCTGGGATGGTATAGTCGGTATCCTTTACAGTAGTTGACAATATCAACTTTGCAGGTTCCCCAGGCAATAATTTAACTCCAGTTGGTCCTTGCCGCTACGATAGCTCACTTGGTAATTAACTTGACACTGATCCCTTTTTATCAAAATTCAGCTTTCAGCAGAGCTATTTTCCTGGCTTGGCTTTGCTGCATATGATCTTGCTTCAGAGATGTGACTGATGATAACGTTTTCCTTTCCCTGTTCCAGGACTTTTGACGAAGAAGTTCATCAATTTAATCAAACACGCAGAAGATGGTATTCTCGATTTAAATAAAGCCGCTGATACTTTAGAGGTGATGTTTTGTGGCATGCTTCCACTTGGTTCTTGCTTTGCTCTTCCTGAAGTGATCTGATAGTTACTTGTGTATGATTCAGGTCCAAAAGAGGCGTATCTATGATATTACCAATGTTCTAGAGGGCATTGGTCTCATAGAAAAAAAGCTGAAGAATAGGATACAATGGAAGTATGTTGACTTGACATATATCTGTGCGTGTTATATATATATATATATATATATATATATATATATATATATATATATATATATATATATATATATATATATATATATATATATATCAGATCCTTATTTTGGAGAATTGAGCTAATGTTTGACTAATTGAACAGGGGACTTGATGTCTCAAGGCCGGGTGAGGTCGATGATAGTGTCACTAGTCTACAGGTATAAATATTCTTCTTCCAAAATGTCTTTTTGCTTATATATTTGCGGCTAAGTAGAAAAGACCTATATGCTGTTCGCCTATATTCTCACTTTTACATTTTTTTTTCTTGCAGGCAGATGTTGAAAACCTTTCTATGGAAGAACGAAGATTGGATGAACAAATAAGGTTAATTCATTATGACTCTGCTTGAGAAGCTTCTTATATTTCTTTCCCCATCTTAAATAGTACTGATTCTTTAATGTTTTGCAGAGAAATGCAAGAAAGATTGAGGGAAATGAGTGAAGACGAAAACAATCAGAAGTAATGTTTCAACCTCCATACCCATTCTCATCTTTATGTAATTTATTCTGGCATTAACTCAGCTGGAAGCAACCTTTGAATCTCACTTGCTTACCATTTGTATATGGCGTCATGTAGGTGGCTTTTTGTAACGGAGGAGGACATAAAGGGCTTACCCTGTTTTCAGGTTTGCTGTCTCCTGTTCCTCCTCTTATTTCAGTGGGTCTCTTATTATTCATTTTGGGATATTGAAACTAGAGCTTGCGGCTATACGTGCTATCTGTAATATGTAACTGTGGCTGTTGACAGAGTGAAACCCTGATTGCAATCAAAGCTCCGCATGGCACAACTTTGGAGGTTCCAGATCCAGATGAGGCAAGTTCCGGGGTTAATTACATCATTTTTGTTAGATAGCGCATTTACCCTATATTATCATTATTGAAGTACCCTTTTGCCTACAGGCTGTTGATTATCAACAAAGAAGATACAGAATAGTTCTTAGGAGCACAATGGGCCCTATTGATGTTTATCTTGTCAGGTATGATTTCTAATGTTGCTTATGCCTAGGTTTGTCATTTTGCACACCTTAAGTCTAACTAAATTACTGTCTGATATTATTTGTACTCTGTGTCAATAGATGTTAATCGTCTTTGGTATGATTTCTGTATTTTCTATGCCTCCAACCCTTATGTTTGTACTCTGTATAAAGAGAATTGTCTTGTCAAAATAATTTTTAGAAGGTTTAAGACAAAAGTGCTTCCGAATCAAATTGAATAATGGTATTTCGCCTTTTTCTCATCCGTGGCTTAGGAAAAAAAAAAAAAAAAAGCAAAGAGCGAAAAGACTAGGTCATTGGAATTCAAATTCTCACATCAAGAGCACAGCTCTTTTATCTTTCTGTTTTCCTGTTTTTTAAGTTTACACCACGAGGTTTGCTGATGGACCTGTTTAGCTTCTCAAATGATTGTTTTGGACTTTGGATGGTTTGATCAGTTTGCATGCATAATAGGCTAACTTGTAAGCCAAATTCCCGGCTTTTTTTTATCTTGGCCTTCTCCTTGGCATCCTTGCTCTCTGCTTTCTTTCCAGCTTTGGTGCTTTTTAGACTTCTTCAACCTGCTTTATTTGATCTTTATGTAGTCAATTTGAAGAGAAGTTTGAGGAGATCAGTGGTGCTGAGCCTCAACCAAGTATGCCAAGTACCTCAGGTTGTGACGAAGGCACAACAGCTGCAGCCAAGGAAGAAAGCAGAGACGATGAGACTGAAATGCAAGGACAAGAAACACACAGAATCTGTTCGGATGCCAATGATCAGCAGGACTTCGTGAGTGGAATCATGAAGATAGTACCTGAAGTTGATGTAAGTTTAATACATGATTTCATTACTTATCGTATAAAAAGTTGGTTTTAGATTTATATGAGATCTGTTTGTTATCGGTTTGTGCACCCTGAGCGCTGTGCACTCGAGGGCATAACCCATGAACATATGGGCTAAAATAAAAGAACATGAACCCTTAAAGAATATGAGGGTTAAAACGAAGGTACATGAACTTCAAAGGAAACAAAGAACATATAAATCGAACCCAAAGAACATGTGTAATCTCCACACATGGGGAAAAAAAAAAAAGAACATGTAGTTCAAATAAAAAAAAACATCAGTCGTACTGAAAACTGAAAAAAAATCATAATCCATAGAACATATAATCTGTAACGTTATTTCAAATAAAAATAAAAAAAAAAACATTATTTCATATTTCATAAATCAAAAGAACATGACTCGTATTAGAAAAATATAAAGTAATAGAATATATACTTTAAATCCAAAGAACGAATAGCTAAGGTACTAAAGAACATAAGTTGTCATTTTGACTAGGTGGTGCACCATCTAATTTGCGCTCTAGCATGGGTTTTATTTTTCAAAATTTTCTTGTTAGACCTTCCTTGCAAGCTGAATAGAAGTATAAAATTTTGTCCTTCCATGCGCTTGAATAGTAAGTATCTAATACATTTATGTCTTCTGCTTCCTTTACAGAGTGATGCAGATTACTGGTTACTGTCGGATGGTGATGTCAGCATTACTGATATGTGGAGAACAGACTGTATCCTTTCACATTTTTTTACTTATGTTTCATTTTGTTGTATAAAAAATAATTTTGTCAAGTTTCTGAAGAAAGAAACATGAACTTTGATTCCCTAACTCAGTGATAGCTGGAGTTGAATGGAATGATCTAGGGACCATCCACGAAGACTATGCTGTGGCCAATGTTGGCACACCACAACCACAAAGCCCACCTCCAAGTGCTACAGAAGTTCTACCTAATAACATGACAGGGAGGTGATTAACATAAAGTTCTGAGGGATTTGCCAATGTTCTCGATCTTGATTGCTTATGCTGGAACTGAACTGAGCTTCCTTATTTCTCTGATTCAGCCTGAGAATTGGGTATAAAATGGCTTCAAGGATGCTGCTAGATCATGTGCAATACTGTTCAGTGCATAAAGTGAGTTGACAGGGAGAGATTGTTCCTGATCTGTTGTACAGCCAGGCGGTAGAGATTACTGCTTAACAGCGAATGAAACTGGGGCATCTTTAGCTGTTAGTCTGTAGCTGTAGCTTGTAAATTACTTTGTTGGTTTAGTGAACAGAGTAAGTAGCTCTTCATATAATCCAATTGTTGACAGCAATAGATTGTTAGATCCCAGTGATCTCTTTGTAGTTTGTATGGAGATGCTTGAAATAGGCCAGTTCTTCTGGCATGATTTGTAAAAATTGTATTCCCTTTCTAGACAGCTTACAGTTCTTGAATCAGCTTGAACATTTATATTTTTCAAGGAATACCAATTCACCAAGGAAATAACATTGTTGGCTAGGTGTACGGCCTTACCCAGTTCGAATGTTTTAACAATGAGAGATTGTTTATCTGGTTATTGAGTTTGTAACTGTTGTATCACATGTAAATTAATATGCGTGTTCATCTGCTGATGTTTCACCTGGAAATGTTATATTCGACAGAAAAGGGGATTCGTTTATGTGAATTGTAAAGTTACAATGGTGTCAAAAGAGTTTAATCTGCTAGAAATTTCCATATCCATACATATATATCCAGTGACATACTCTATATAATTACACAATAATGAAGAAAATAGGATGTTTGAAAGATGTACAAAGTGACGAGGATAGCTCAGTTATCTTTGTCAACTTTCTTGCCAATCCAGGAGGCAACAATGGGAGTAAGAGCAACCGTAGGCGGAAACCTTATCGGGGACGCGGCCTTGTGAGCTGCATATGCCAGGGCAAATGTCCCTACTTTCTCTCCTGTTTCATTTGATGCAATTCCCACCTTTTTTTCAAAAAAATAAAGATTAGAATTCAGAATGAATTTCTTTCCTAAAAAACAATAATTCCTAAATTACAGTGGAATTAATTTGAGAATACCTTCTGAAGCAAGGCCGAGACATCAACACCAGCACTAATAAGAGCATAACATAATGTAAAGGAAATCAGAGACAAAGTTATTGAAGTGGCCAAGTATGCTCCTCCATATTTTGCCAGCAGCTCCTTCGCTTCTTCTCCTTTTGATTTCTGTCTCTTCCCTTCTTCATCTTCCTTTGAGCTAAATATCTTTTTTTTTTTTTTTTAAAAAAAAAAAAGAAAAAACTCAAATTATCCACTTATATAATCTAAACAACCCACAAATTTAGATTGTTCACATTAATTAAACTCTTTGATAATCTGAAGCGATAATTGTATACTAAAAACTAGTATGAAATCGAGCACAAACCCAGAAAACAATAATATGTGAATCAAACAAATTGAGATACGAGTAATTGACAAAATCATAAGTAATAGAAAATACCTTCCACAGACCAGCTTCAAGTCCATATTTCTTAGTAATATCCTCTGCTGACGAAGAAGAAGGAGGAGGTGATGTTGGGATATCCTTAGTTTTATCTCTAACAGCTCTTACTTGAAACTTACGATGATACGATGAACATTTTTGAGGTGAAGAAACGCATGATGCTCTGTTTGTAGATGGTGTTCTGTTAATGAAGAAAGAGGAAGAAGAAGAGAGAGAAAGGATAGAGGAAGAAGAAGCTGTATTCATGTTTGATGAATACTAACGCTTGAATTGGTGTCCATACATTTACATTCAACTAAAACTCCTACTGGTATTTTCTTTTCTTTGTGCGGCCCGGATTTCCAACTTTTTCACGGCCCATATGGTTTTCCGTATACCACTTTTTATCCTTATACGTCATATAAAGTTTTAATTTGTATATTTAGACAACTCCCTCCCCTTTTTTTTTTTAATTTTATTGCGCATTTTTACCGTAGAAATCTTCTAAAGTTCTCTTTATATATAAGAACAAATATACGAGGTTTTAGTTTTAACGTTTCAATGAGTACTTTATTAATTTATAATATTTTTAATTTTTGCTAGTGTGAGATTAAAGATACACGTAATCAATTATTTGCATCAATATACATAAATGTAACTAATATTATGAAATGGATGGAGGGAGTATTATATTCTCTTCATTTTCAAATAATTAAAACACTTAACATTTTTTAATTTCGTAATAAGTAGGTTGTTGTTGAATTTATCTTAATTAATGTATATAATTAAAATATCAAATTGTTTTAATGCTATGTATTTTATCTCATATTATAACAATAAAATATAGTCAAAGTTGTTAAAAAAAAAAAAAGTATAGTGTATAAATTCAAGAACGACTGAACGAGGGGCTAATAACAAATACTACTCCGTATAGTTAATCGAACGTAAATCTATCCTAAAATAGTTACAAGGTAACTTGAGATAATTATTAAGTTGTTTTAATCATACAAAAATAAAATAAAAAGTACCATACAAAATTTATTCCTATAAACTTACTAGAATTTAGGTTAAAAAAGTATAGTACATTGAATGTACCCAAAAAAAAAATATTGTTATAATTTTGATAACAATTTGAGGATTTCTCTAAATTTTAATTTTAGAAATTTATCTGTTTCCTATTTTACCTCTAACACCTATATTTCGTTAAATTTTTTTTAATCTTGGTTGTTTATCTTTTTCCTCTTTTCTCTATAAAACTCTTGTCGATTGTGTTATGTGAATCTTTTGACTAAGGTTAATTCACTCTGATTGATAATATTTTATGGAGATAAAGATGGGTAAGAGAAGTAGAGTAATGCATCTCGTTGATTACAAACAAGATTCGACTGCAGAGGTATATGATTCGACTGCGAAGGTTGATAGATTGAGAAGAAAAAGCAGTAGATTTAATGATGGAGTTGGAGGAAGAAAGCCACAGATATATACTTACACCTCATTCAGAGACATTCTACCCCATTCCACGACTAAAAGAACTCCGTGGTGGAAGAAGCTTTTGGCTCGTCCTTCGCCGGACTTTGAAACAAACTTGATCTTTAACGAAGATTGTATGTTGAGAACTCCATCCAAACCACTTTCCAATTCAAAGGGGATCAATTTTTTTAAAAGAATGATAGGTATGTGTTTCTGTGCTGCCGAGGATAAGTAGTCCTCTCCGTACTATCGTTAGTGTTTAGAGTAGGTTAATTGCTAACAAATAGACGTTAGTATGCAAATTTAACCTAGCTAGCCTAGTCTCTCTTTGAATTTGAATTAGACCATGTATAGCAAATTTATCAAATAAATAATCAAGTGCATGCTTCTTTTTGTTTGTTAATTTGATCGTTTATTTATTGTTATATCTTGAATTAAGTATATTTACAATTTCGTAGTAATTTAATTTAAATTCTGATGTATATTAATTTTAATTTTATGGGTATAATCTAATTAGATTAAAACTTTTAATCGCACTTTTTTCGGCAACTTTTTATATGTTTTTGGTATATCGATAATTATTATATATAATTGGTGAATGTTATTATATATCACCTAATGGACAATAATTTACACTCTATTTGGTTAGATTTTCTTAAAAATTGAAATTTAATATTGTACTAGCGTAGGAGTGTAAATGAGCAAATATTTTTACAAACTACTCACTCGTTTGTTAAGTAACAAACAAGCTTAATTGAACAAAAATCTTAAGCTCATTAAATATACGAACAAAGCTCGAACAACATACACAATAATGTTCGACTCGATAAAACAACTTGTTTAAGTTCGTGTGTTCGCACTTAATTATAACTCCGTCAAAGGTCATTCAAGCTAAAACTATCACTATTATATTAAAACTAATTTAGTATACATATAAAAACTACAAATTATTTCATCTCTCTAACATTACCTTTTTTCTATAGAAAGAATGGAAGTTTCTCATATTTTAAACTCCAACAAACGAGTATGTTTGTGAGCAAAACTCGAAATATAAAGAATAATAATGGCTAGATAAATGCGTTTATACGTGGTTTAAGTCCATCTCTTTGAGGTGTAATCAAATTAAAGTGGGAAAACCTTTTTGATCGAAGTTCACATGAGAATGAAGTAAGACAAAAACCCTTGAGCAAGCTAATATACCAACATACTATATACAGAACACTGTAGCTTTATTAGTTGCTACTTGTGCTAAGCTAAAATAAATGTAAATCTACTAATAGTAGAGAGCAACAGATGCCTTACACTACATGTAATGTAAAGTTAAAAAGGAGTCAAATGTCCCTCATGATCATCATCATAGTATATGTCTTCCAATTCACTCCTATTTCTTATTCTTTCATATTCTCTTTCACTCTTCACCCTTAGCTTAACTCCTCACTCAACAACTAACTCAACAACATTTCCCACCTCCTACCTCCCCGGCCCCTTTATAAGCCTTCATCTCCGGATGTACGCGATTGATCCATCATGTCCCAATTCAAGCGGAAGAAACTCTTCAAGAACCTAGGCTTAGGCTGTGGCTGCGCCTCCACCACCAACTCCAATGCTACTCATGTCTTCGAGCCCAAACCCATACCCAAACTCAAGCCTAGACCATCCACTCTTTCCTCTTCCAATGATGGAGAGACTTATAGCTCCATCTCCCCATCCACCTCTTCCATGCTCTCATCTAATTGGCAGAGTTGCAATAGTGAGAATATAGATAAGAAAATGATTACTGCGACGGCCTCTGCCTCAGCAACATCACCATCAGTTTCAAGAAGATGGAATAATATGGGTGATCAGCAAACTACTGACAATATTAGCACTACTGCAGTGGTGATGGAGTCTGAGAATCCTTACGATGATTTCCAACAGTCAATGTTGGAAATGATAACAGAGAATCAGATATTTTCTGCAGAAGAACTCCTTCAACTTCTCCATTGCTTCCTAAGCCTTAATTCTCCTGCTCATCACCATCTCATCCTTTGCGCCTTCTTCCAGGTTTCTCAGTATGCCATCGTTTCTTCCTCAAAATAAAAATCCTCCAATATATATTGCATGGAGTACTATGTCATATCCCACACCAGGCCATGAATTACATATACTGGTATATACATCCTATCCTTATATCACGGTCATCTTCGGCCCGTTGATATAAGCTACAATGATTTAGCTTGTTAACATATTGATTTACAAGGATTATCATGCATGTGAATAAAAGCTTATTCAATACATAAGTTCTTTCATTTTTTTTAATTAGTTTTTATTCTTTTTGTGTCTTTTGCTTTTGAACGTAACCTTGCATTTAAAGTGCTACTTTGATCTTGTTGTGTTCTTCTTGCAAGCAACTGTAGCACTCCTAACATGGCCTTCAGTAGGCCCTCCATAGTATATTTGTAAAGCAACAGATAAAATTCATAATTTAGAGTTCGGTGTATCTATTTTCTTCCACCTTCCTCCAATCATAATTTAGACTCAAAACATTTTATAATAATCATATACGAAGTATGAAGTATTATATACCAATCACAAGTAGTATTATTAAGTATTTGAAATGTTTACATATACATAATATATTGGACAATTAAATGAGGCCTTTCAATTAATTAAAGCAATCAAATGACATCTTAAAAATAAATAATCAAATTGGGGGTGATAAGTGAGATGCATTTTACAGTAATCAAATTGAAGAGGTTGGATTGATGATGGTCAACTGATGGATACCGGCCATCGTGCTACAGACCTAACCAAATGCATGCCACGAAACAATCTTAATAGCTCACGAGTAACTTATTATAGAAGCCAAGCAGCCTAATTTGAACTTCTAATTGTCCCTTATACGTAGTCGTATGCAAGTTGACTAAGTAGGTGTATCATGCACGGGAAAGTTCAATTGTCTAGAAATTTAGTTAGACTTGTGTTTTGTACGTAATTTATACTTGGTAAAGTGAAGTTGTTTTCATCTTCTTTGTAAGATTACATTCTGTTTTGTCCTTGCCGTATTATTGATCAGTCAATGAAGAATCCAAACTCTGGCTAGATGAAACTGATGATGCAATATATGGGTTTATTATACAAGTAATCTATCAATTGGATCGGACAAGAAACTCCAATGATGATTATGTATGTTGGTCGATTTGATCTTAGCACAATATGTAATAAATGAATATCATATTGAAATATTGAAACTAGACTAATGTACAAGTTTACAACATTGATTGATAAGTTGATAACATAGTTGATCATTTAATTTAACGACTAAACAAAGAATTAATGAATAATTAATACTCGATGTGTATTGTTGATGTTCTAGAGGTCTAATCCATAGATGACACCAGCGTGATATTCGGGAAGATTATTTAGAAAATAGAGTTGAACCATTTTCTGGAACGCCAGCCAAGTTAGCAAACTATCCGAGCCTGCTTGATGGCACTTGCCAACAGCACGCTTGACTTGGAGAGTCTTAGCAACCCTGTCTAAGCCACCATACAAGCTCTTACAGAACTTCATCATATACTTTATATCGTAAACACGGTACCCGAAAAACGCTCTGGTCAGCCTTAAGAAGTCGTCTAAATTGGACGGAAGGTGGCGGCGAGTCAGGATTTTAATCAAGTAACCAAAATCATAGGCGCTGTGAAAGGTGATCCAGGTAACAGAGTCATTGCAAACGAGACCTGAAGACATGATGAGCTGGGCAAAGTTAATGGAGTCAATGCCTTCCTTCTTATTCCTCTCGAAGTCAATACCTTGTTGGGTTAGTAAGTGGATGGAATCATGCGCGTGCGGATCACGCTCTACGTCGAAGTCTGAGAAGTTGAACTCCCAGATGTATTGATTGGGAGTGCCCAGATTAGGGAGATTACCAGAAGCATCGGATAAGGTGAGGCCCACTTGGATCAGATTTAAATCATCAACGTTGGATTTCAGGAGCCGGTAAAGATCAGACGAGGAGGGACGAGGATGAGGATGCTTCTTGTTGTTGCTGTGGTGTGGGGGAGGTCGGTGGATGACCCCAGGAAATTCAGTATCCATAGAAATAAAAGGGTAATCTTCGATCAGATTTCTGATTAATTCAAACTCAGAATCTAAATTAGAAGCCCAGACTTCCCTGATTATAATCATGTTCAAGACAGTAAATTAGATCAAGTAATGAATGATTAATAGTATAGAAGATCTGAAATACAATATTAGCCAGTATGAAATGAATCAAGACTCAGGTGAGAAGAAAGAGAGAGAGAAAGAAAGAAAGGCTGAAAAATGATTGATGAGAGAGATAAGGGAGGTGGGAGTTGTATATATACAGGATTAATCAGGAGTTAATAGAGTGACCAGTAGTTGCAAGTCAAAATTGAGGAAGAAATGGAAGTTACAAAGCGAGTGAGTGAAGAGAAGAGGCAGGTACATTTTAGGAGGCTGCTTTGTTGCTTCCAATACTGAAGAAGCAGTCGCCAACTTGGAAAGTCGTTATTCACTGTAATTAGTGTAATAAACCTTTTTTTAACATACGTGACATGTCCATATTCAACGCGCCTCACTTTTGACCGTTTCATTCATCAATTCCAGTTGGTCCACACTTGCCTATTCTATTTTATCCATCAAAACTTTTGTTTATTTTAATTATACTCCATTTGGAAGGCATACTTGATTAGCCCTCATTTCTTTCCAATTGATTTGGTGCACGTTTTCTTTTAGGAAATAAGAACTCTTTTTCTAATATCTAACTATAATAATGTCATTATCAAACCAAAGTTGGATATTCCTATGTGAAATGAACCGGCCTGTTTTAGCTTTGATCAAAATGGTATCAATATGCATTGTCCCAATCCATATTCTACTGCAATTCCACTTGATTTTACAATTAACAGTTTGATGCAACTTGTTCAACACTCCTTTGCTTCGCTTCACCTTTTACTTTTTGTCTTGTCATTTCCTACATGATCTACCTCCAAAAACACAACCATTTGCTTCTTTTTTACTTTCTCTTATATCTATTGTACGGAGTATTGTATTGAACTTTAGTCGTTTAAACACGTGCGCATCTTTTAAATGCACATTTTCTACCGTCCTTATTGCCTTTTACCTCCGTTGTTGCCCAACCTTGGACCTATGAAGCCGACATCTTATAAATATAAAGTCTATGAACAAAATCTTAAATGATACTGAGCATTTTAAAGAGACAGACATACTTGTACTAAAAAGAAAAAACTAAGGGAGGGCCATGGCACAATGCCAAAGTGTAGAGCCGCACAGATGTTGGTGTTGTTGCTCAAGGCCATCCACAAGCCCATTGGAGCACTACTGCAGGCCACACCAAGACATGGGAGATCAGGTGCCCAAGTGTAAAGGCACGACATGGCCAACAATGTTGCCAAGTCCAAAAATGATTTTTGGAACCCAAATTTGAAGGGTATAATACACAAAATCAAATTAATATTGAAGGTTTGGGACCCGGTATTAAAAATAATTAAATAAATAAATAAAATTTATAAAAAAAAAAAACCTCAAGGTTATAGAGGATACATCCCAAGGGCATATGATGTTGAAATAGCATAGACGATGGTTCAGCCAACAAGGCTTTCCACGTTACAAAGTCTCAATTTATTTTTAAAAATATGTCTTACATAATCACATTGTAAAACTCTACTCAACAATATGAATAAGCAAGCAGTATTGGATCTTTTTCCTTTCCAAGAATTCCATATCAAAGGCATAAATAATTTAACTACATACTGATTATATAAACCTATTAAGACCCTTCAGACTTCTGCCCTTTTAAGAATTCCCAGCTTGGAAGGTCAGCTAGAAACAGGTTCCTTCTGCAGGTTGAACAAGTTTTCGGTTGTGAGGTGCAGCCATTTCTTTCCTCAGCTGAGTCAGAATGTCCTCCATAGTAAACTCTCTCTGCCAATTCGCCAGCATCCCAAACTTCGTCGGTTCAACCTGCCACCCACATATGTTGTTCATAAGACCAAAGATGACAATTTAAGGCTCATTAAATATAACATAACTCCACTTCAGCATGAATCAGCCCCCTATTTGATTACCTGCACATCACATTAACACTTATAATTAACTACCTTCTTCCTCAAGGAAGATAGAATGACCAAGCAATTTCACCTAAGAGCTAACTAAAACATATTTAGACCATCAATAATAATAAGTGGACTAAACAGCACCACATGACACCATATAAACACGGGCAGACATTCAATTAATTCCTCCATAAGAAACATATGATAAAGCTACATTCTATCAGCTGCAATAATCTCCAAATGGATGAACATGCTTCATATGTTGGCATCCTTAGCAAACTGAGTATTAAACTATTAATAGGATAGAGGGCCAAAACAGCAAATTTCCTAAAGTCAGTCAGGCAGAAGTGAAGAAGATTACCATTCCGGTCTCTGCGTTCACGCAAGACATATTAATCCGTGTGTGGAAGCGAACGGTTGGAGGTTTCTCTGGATAATCTTTGTCACAAAAGAGCTTCAACTGATATATTCGGCCTTCATGTACACTCTGATACAAAATCAGTATGAACCTTCAATTCAACTAAATTTCACAACAAACATTAACCATATACTGGTATTACAAAAAATGTGCAGTCTCTAATCAGTAATCACTATTGAAGACACCAATAATTTACAAAACAGTAATATACTCCCATTACCCAGGCATTTATGAAAAGAAGAATCAGGAACAAGGGCAGGCAGTAGAAACAAGTAGAAATGTGCAGACAAGGAGGTTGGAGAGAGTATAAAGTAACAGTGAAAGAAGTTTGAAGGTCCTTGGACATGAAACATTCAGGATTGATTTCTCGGTAAGTGGAACAATTGCAGAGGACATGGGCACAACATTCTATCAAGAAATTAATTAAACAGGCTAATTTTTTCTCCCTAATACTTGAGCTAAAGGGAAATTATTATACACACAAAACTACCTATAGAACATTTGCTTTCACTAGTATACAGAAAAATCAAGTAGTTACATTGATAACCAAATCACAACTTACATTGTGAGGACCAATTATAGTACCCGTCCAAGAACGCATGTAGATATCATCACCTTCATCCATTCCATAGCTGACGCTCCCATCTCCAATCCCTTTTTCACCACGTTCAAGTTCTTCTAGCAACCTGAAGTTCCTGGGAACTGTATGACCATATCATCAGTAAAAGTACAACTGAGAATACATACTTCATAATGCAGTTCTAGTGTAGTTGTACATGATATTCAGCTAAAAGGAGGTATAAGTAGCCAATATCCAGAGAATTACTCACAAAACATTCTTGAAAGAAGAGTCAACTGGTTATGCAATTAGAAAAAGGCAAGCATGATTCAACCGAAAGTGATTGAATCATACACCTTCATTAAGATACACTATACATGTATGTATGCAAATATATGAAATTAACAATTATTGAAAGAGAGAAAATGGTGAGTGAATTGAAAAATTCCTTAGCATAATTTCCAAGCGAAAAGATTAAGGTCCATTGCAACTAAACTATCAATAGCTTGTTTAGATAATAATTAAATTAATTGGAAGTAACACTAAATTATGAATGATGATGTTACAAATAAGCTTTCCCTAATGAAATCAGCCATTCCAATATCTAAGATAAGCCAAATCCCAAAAAGGGAAAGTATCATAGATAATCTTCAGCATATTATCAACGCAACTTTGACGGCAAAAATGATTTGTTACGTTATTATTAAAATCTACTAATCAACAGAAAATTGCAACATCATAGCACAAAATTCATGTTTGAATGATATGGATGGAAACCCTAAAGTGGGAATTGAATAAAATCCTATGCGAACTTGGTTGGTTACATGATCGAGTAATTGCAGAATGAAGATGGTAAAACAATGAATCAAACTATAATACAGTGAATTCAATAAAATTAAACAAAGGCTGAATTGAAGCGATGAAATTCCAATGAGAAATGAACGCAATAAAGAGCATACCAACGACGCTTGATCCTCCGGAGCCGATGGTCATTTTTTGGGGAACTTATCAACTTAAATGGGATGATCAATAACAGAGGTTTCCGGGGTAGAGTGTCAACTGAGAAACAGATGCACACACCATCATATAGAATAAAACCTGGGTTCGTCACCAGGTGTAATAAGGATAAACCCCAATTTAAATCATTTTCACCATTAATTCATTTAGGTTAATAAGGTCAGGTATAATTCACCTTATTTTAAATCATTTTATAAAATACGAAGTATAAGATTAAATTAGAAAAAATAAGTTCAGATCTAGGGTTGTTCATCGGTCCAAGATCGGATCGGACCAAAAACAGAAAAATTGAATTTCAAGAACCGAAAATCGGGCCGATTAAGCTAGACCAAACCCGGACCGGACCGGTCTAGACCGATTTTAGAATTATTATAAAAAAAAATTTAAATTTCAAATAATTTATGGAAAACTCGAAAAAAAAAATAATGGAAAAACATTATTTTAATGTCTTTTTTGTATGTTTAGTACAAAAAAGCTCATACGACTAAAGTTTTCCAAACTTGTTAAGGATAATCTTAATTATTATTAAAGGTTTTATGTATAATATTAAGCAAAAAAACCGGTCCGGTCCAAAACCGGTTTTTATAGAGGTTTTGGACCAGACTGGAAAAATAAATTTCTCGACCCGAAGACCTGACCCATTAATTTGGTCCGGTTAGGACCAATCCGACCGATTAGATCATCATTTTATGATCGGTTTTTTATTGCTAAATATCTTTGATTCGCATTGAAAAAAAAAATGAAAATTACATGTTAAGAAACACACATTATTACGAATATAACAAAACCCAAATTGATACATTTTTTTTCTTTATAGATTATCATACGCAAGTCAAAGTTTGGTTAAATCATACAATCAGATTAGATCAGACCACATAAGTAAAAATAAGGTAAACTAAACAAGCCCTTGAAATATTGTCAAGTGAAAATTTGTTTTTAATACAGTGTACAAATTATTCACCTTTCATAAATTTTATGCTTATGAAATTAGATAAATTTTAAAACTTATAATAATAATAATAATAATAATAATAATAATAATAATAATAATAATAATAATAATAATAATAATGATTAGGGGATTTTGCTCCCACCAATCGGAATGTGCCACGTGGGCCAATCAGGTCCTGCCAAGTTCCCCCAGTTGGAACTGTCAGGGCTTGCCACGTGGCACACGCCTATTCGTCCACCCTGGACCTATTATGTCATGACACGTGGCATCCTCCATGCCTAATGGAGAAACCGGCCACCTAGGCCCAACTTCCAAGGGAAGCCCAATCAGCCCAAGGTTAACCTAAACCTAGGATTGACACGTTTCCCAAGGTTATAAATACCTCCCTTAAACCTCATTAAGGGGGATTACGCACATTAAACACTCTCACCTAGGGAGACCCAATCACTTTAATTTCCGCATTAATTACTCCTTAATCAAGTACTAACTTGACCGTCGGAGGCGGATCTCCAATCATCTGGAGCATCCGTTTGTTTTGCAGGTTCAGGCGTCCGGTTCCAGTCTCGGAATTGTAACTCTCCCGCAGGACATCAGAAAACCCCGAAACATTTTTGGCGCCGTCTGTGGGGAGAGTACTTCTGAGATGGCATCCACGTCTGTACCGACTCCTGAAGAGAGGCGTCCCCTAGACGACCCTCAAGTTCAGTCGGACCATGATAATGAGAATGAATTTGAAGTTGAAGCTCACACAGCTTCAGACGGGACCCTAAGGGCCCGACGCACCCGTCATACTTAAAGGAGGGAACGGGAACATCTTCAAACTGGACTCAGTGATCCAGCAGGCGCACTACCTGTTCAGCAGCAGTCGGCTGATGGGTCTGCTCCCATTACAAGGAACGAACTCATGACCTTCATGAGGGGCTTCAAGGGAGAGATTCAAGAGTTGCTCAACAAGAAGCCTGCTCTGGCCAAGGAACAGTCAGCTAAGAAACCTTCCACTTCAGGGAAGAGGAAGCCAGTTCAAGGGCGAGAGGCGACCCCTCATCCTAACTCTAGGAAGTGGGAGTCGCCTGCCCTTGATTTCACAAAGTACCGCTTTCCTACTCCGGGAAAGAGGAAACATGTTCGTCATATTCAGGCGGACGGGTCGAAGAAAACATACACAGATGCTCGGCTATTGCTAGAGCAGAAAAATAATGACCGATTGTCAGAGTCGGCCTCTACTTCAAACTTCCAAGACAGTCTGCGCAATACCTCGATGAAGTATACTCAGTCGCATCATGAGAGTCAGTCAGGCGGTACCTCCCGTCAATCCGGCTTTCATAGTGACCAGGCAGTACCAAACTTACCATTTGTACCGCAACAGCAATATTTTTTGCAGCCACCTCTGTTTGGTGGGCATGCAGCAAAGAATGTCCAACCTATGGACTGGCAGCTACGGTTTCTTAGACTTGGGGAACAGCCGTCGGCCTTCTCCAAGGAAATTGCTGAAGCCGCTCAGCCGGCCAAAGTGAAAAATATATTAGTAGGCACCTATGACGGCACTACTAACCCAAAAGACCATTTGATGGCATTCACCAACTTGATGTACCTTCAAGGGTTGGATGATCCCACTTGGTGCAAGTGTTTCCCAGCGACTCTCAAAGGAATCGCACAACAATGGTTCGACAACCTGCCGACTGGTTGTGTGAATAACTTCAGGACGCTTGCTTACTTATTCACCTCCAACTTTGCCATGAACATACCTGCAAAGAAGACGACCCTTGATTTAGGAACAATTCAGCAGGGCGAGAAGGAGGGGCTTCGTTCTTACATCAGGCGGTTTAACCTGATGAGAATACAGATTCAAGGGTTACCGGATGAGGTAGCCTATACTGAATTTTTCAGAGGCCTCAAAGACGGATCGACATTCAAATTTGATTTGGTCCGAAAGAGGGTGGCGAATCTTCAAGAGGCCTTGATTGAAGCGGAAGCCTATATACAGGCGACTGATCTTTGTAGTACAAAACAGTCGGACGGGAAAAGGTTCGACAAAAAAGAAGGGCGACAGGATCAGTTGTCGAACAAAGATGAGAAGAAAAGAAAAGAGGTCTGGGCGGCTGATTCCTCTAAACAGCCGGCCCAGAAGAAGAAAAAAGAATTCAAACCATACTCCCCAAAGTATGCGTTTAACAAGGATAGCCAAGCTATCCTAAAGGAAATCAAGGACGGATCTCAATTGAGAAGTCGATCCCCATGAAGGGTTCTACAAGCAACCGGAACCAAGAAAAATTCTGTGATTATCATGAAGATGTTGGTCATCACACCAACGAATGCATCAGTCTCATGCGGTATCTGGACCGCCTGGCTGAGCAGGGCGATCTTGACACTTATGTCAAGAAATCTACGGGGAACACTTCCTCGAAAAAGCAGTCGGCCAAAAAGAGTCAACAGGCCGACAGCTCTGATACAGATGATGCAGTCGTCTACACCATTGTCGGCGGCTTCGCATGAGACGGTCCCACTATTAGGGGCAACAAAGACAATATCAGGCGGCTAGATGTAAATTCCGTTCACCAAGAACGACCCTCCAAATATTCATTTCCTGAGATTGTCATCACTGAAGAAGATCTAGGAGGGGTAAGGGGGCCGCATGACGACCCTATCGTTATTGAGTGTAAAGTGGCCAACCAGAGAGTTGGTCGAATCCTTATAGATACTGGAAGCTCCTCAGATCTTATCAGTAGCAAATGTCTGTCAAAATTAAAATATCAGACTGATTGCATACATCCGGCATCCCACCCTTTAGTAGGGTTTGGAGGAGGAGTCGTCCACCCAGTGGGACGAGTGGATTTACCCATCCGCCTGGGTGAAAAGGGGAAGGACGACACATGGTAGTCCGGTTCATGGTAGTAGAAGAACTCTCGGCCTACAACATGATTCTGGGACGACCAACCCTGAATAATTCCAAGGCTGTTATAATCCCATCTCTTATGTTGCTCAAGTTTGAGAGGGATAATGGAACAGTCGGGTCCCTAAGGGGAGATCAGAGGATGGCCCGAGAATGCTATCTCTCGGATATCAAGCCCACTGTTATGACTGCTGGGTCAAGTGGTGGAAAAACAGACCTTGACAATGTCAAGGAGAGTGCGCCTGTTCAAGAAGCAGGCGGCAAGAAGAGAAAGACAGCCCAGACGGGGGCCGCAAGAAAAGACAGAAAATAGCAATCATTGGCAGAGGAGCGGTCGGACGAATTCTGCCCTCAGCCGGATGGTGAGCATACGGACCTGATCTTAGACGACTCACGTCCTGACCGAACAGTCAAAGTTGGGACGACTGCTCTGAGAGTCCTGGGTGACGATTTGCACAAATTATTGAAAGAATACAAGGACATCTTTGCATTCGAAGTCTACGAAATGCCAGGCATTAGTCCTGACCTGGCGGTACATAAACTGGTTGTGGATCCGAAAAAGAAGCCGGTAAGGCAGAAAAAGCGGAACCACGGCGAAGAAAGAAGTCAGGCGGCAGCCGCCGAAGTTAAAAAACTACTTGATGCAGGGTTCATTCGGCAATGTTACTTCCCAGACTGGGTTGCAAATGTGGTGCTTGTTAAAAAGCCAAATGGCACCTGGCGAATGTGTGTAGACTACACAGATTTAAACAAGGCGTGCCCCAAAGACAGTTACCCTCTGCCTAAAATTGATAACCTGGTCGACTCAACAGCCGGCCATGCTTTGATGAGCTTTATGGACGCCTACTCTGGTTTCCATCAAATTCCTTTATGGAAGAAAGATCAGGAGAAGACGGCCTTCGTCACTGATCAAGGGTTATACTGTTACACGGTCATGTCGTTCGGTCTTAAGAATGCCTCGGCCACCTTCCAGCAAATGATAAACACTGTGTTCTTTGATCAGATCGGGAGAAACTTCGAGGCATACATTGATGATATGATTGTCAAGTCTAAGCTTCAGACAGATCATATGTCGGACCTCCGAGAAACTTTCGCCACACTCAGGCGGCACCATGTCATGCTCAATCCCAAGAAATGTGTATTTGGAGTTGAGTCTGGGAAATTTCTCGGATTCCTTATCAATCAGAGAGGAATAGAGGCGAACCCTGAGAAGGTGCAGGCGGTCATCGATATGCAGTCGCCCCGTACTGTCCGAGAGGTTCAGAAG